AACAGCTGCAGTGCTGCTGGGGTTGGCGGGTCCATTTCTTCAGCGCTGATAACTCTGCGGACAATTCCGTCTCGATGATGTGGAGTGGGAGGGATAACGTACGTCTCTCCTCCAATGCAAAGGTGGAGAGGCAGGGAGCTGCAATGCACTGACGTGCAGCAATGCTTGCAGCACATGCGTCAAGATTCTGACTCACTCGTGGGTCCAAACAAACAGGAGTGCAGCATGCGGAGTTGTCACTGAATATCTTATGTCGAATACTAAAATTGTAAGTATATATTTTTCAAACTGCTCCCAATTACTGTTTTTAAAATGCACAACAGCAGCAACGCTATTTTTTTCACGAATTTCCACCTTAGAGGAAATAGATTTATGTACTAAACAAGACCATCATCACCTTTGGTCGCACAAACATTCAGGGAAACAGCTATAATTAATTTTTATTTTTTTTTTTCTTGCTTGTAACTTTTTAATGCAACCCATTTGGGGACCCTTGGCTCTGTCAGTAACAGCCATCAGAGTGAAGAGCAGCCTGAACACAAAGCACTGCCAAATAAGTACATCTGAGAAAGCAGCTTTCCTGAATCACAGAATGGTTTGGGTTGGAAGGGACCTTGAAGCCTATCCAGTTTCAACCCCATGGGCAGGGATACATCCCACAGACCAGGCTGCCCAAAGCCCCATCCAGCCTGGCTTTACAGACAGAAAAACATACAGGCAGCAAGAAATATCCAATGCCAGGAAGAGGTGATGAAGTGGTTGTTATCTACACATCTGAAAGAGACCAACAAATACACCCTTAGAGGTGCTGTTCCTGAAATCACAAAGCATAAAAAGGAGTCAAGCAGCCTCGGTCTGAAGAGGTTAGGTAGCAGCCTTCTGTATGTCGCAGACAGCAGGATGAGATCTGAAGGACCCTCTTGGCAAAGGGAATTGTGCTCTTAGGTTGTTGCTGGCTGATATCTCTTCTACCATTTGTTTCCTGGAGGAGATATGTTATGGCTGGGAACGGCATGGCAAAAGATGTTGCCAGGATTACCTGCCTGGCAGGAACTGATCCCTAGCTTGAAGGACAGTCAGTTCACCTGAGTATTTTGTCTCCTTAAAGGGCCTCGTACAAATAGTGCATGCTGGGTGAGAGAACCATTCCTTCCCTAGACTCATTTCATTTTTCAACCTTAATACGACAGGAGAGAACTGATATATGTTAGCAAGTCCCAATCCAGAGCTTTAAAGAGCTCTCCTTCAAGCATATAAAGATTCCAGTTGAAGGTGGGAATTTAATTTGCTGAACTCGAAAGGAACAAGATGCAGATTTTGAAGATGATTTGAGTTTTAAAAATCAAGGAGTCAATACTGCAAACATAGGTAATGGCTGATATTACCTATGTGATAGGTTGATACCACCTGACCTGTGAGCAGAGAAATAGGAAGAAAAGAATAAAAATAGTGTCATCATAACAAAGGATTTCTTTCAGTTCCTTCTAGAGGGGAGGCAAAAATGGTGAGAGCTGAGGATGAATTTACCTAAGGAAAGCCTAGCTGTTAAATAAACAGCTATAGCAAGAACAATACTGGACAAAGGTACAGCATTAAGTGAGAATGACCACTGAGAGGAACTTCTCAACCGGTGTCCCTCAGGGGTCGGTCTTGGGACCAGTGGTCTTCAACATCTTCACCAATGACAGACAGTGTCACTGAGTGCACCCTCAGCAAGTTTGCAGATGACAGCAAGCTGAGACACTGGAGGGAAGGGAAGCCATCCAGAGGGACGGGCTGGAGGGGGGGGCCATGTGAACCTGATGAGGTTCAGTAAGGCCAAGTGCAGCATGCTACACTTGGGTGGAGGCAATCCCAGGTGGGAGACTGGGAGAAGAACCCTCTGAGAGCAGCCCTGCAGAGGACTGGGGGTCCTGATGGATGAGGAGCTGGACATGAGGCAGCAGTGTGTACCAGCAGCCCGAAGGCCAACTGTGTTCTGGGCTTCATTAAAAAGGGGCGGCCAGCAGGGACAGGGAGGTGATCGTCCCCCTCTGCTCGGCTCTTGTGAGGCCCCATCTGCAGTGCTGTGTCCAGGCCTGGGGCTCCCAGCACAGAAAGGACGTGGAGCTCTTGGAGCGGGTCCAGAGAAGGCACTGAGATGAGCAGAGGGCTGGAGCAGCTCTGCTGTGAGGAAAGGTTGAGGGAACTGGGCTTGTTCAGCTTGGAGAAGAGAAGGCTGCAGGGAGACCTCATGGTGGCCTTCAGTGCTTGAAGGGAGGGGGACACTTGAAACAGGAGGGGAACGGCTATTTGTGAGGGTGGGTGGTGATGGGACAAGGGGAATGGTTTTAAAGTGAGACAGGGGAGGTTTGGGTTGGATATGAGGAGGAAGTTTTTCCCCCCGAGGGTGGTGAGGCACTGGCACAGGTTGCCCAAGGAGGCTGTGGATGCCCCATCCCTGCAGGCATTCAAGGCCAGGCTGGATGTGGCTCTGGGCAGCCTGGGCTGCTGGTTGGCGACCTGCACACAGCAGGGGGTTGGAATGAGACAATCACTGTGGTCCTTTTCAACCCAGTCTGTTCTTTGATTCTATGCTTTATTTGAGAAAAAGTGAAGCATAGGAGCAATGATGTAGGCAAAAGGTGCACAGCTGCTCCTATATTGGTTACTGCCAGATACAACATTACTGTCTTATTAAACAAACCATGAACTTAGAAAAACTATGTTTTATCTACTTACTTATTTCTAAAGTGAACTGAGTCTGATTAACATTAACACCAAAGTGCTGCTTAAGTCAATCACATCTCTGCTGAACTTTAGTAATTTTGCCTGAAGACTCCAATGCCTGCCAAATACATGATTCCAAAATTCAAATGGTTATCTGGATGCAAAAGAGGTCAACCAAAGAGCTTGAGCTGATATTTTATTTATCAGTGTATCTAAAAAAGGAAAAAAACAAAAAAAAACAAACCAACAGCAAACCCACCTCCTGAATTCCCTTGATTCCTTGAATTAATAGTTTCAGAGATAAATTTTTTTTGTGGGTAAATACATAAATAATCCTCAAGCAGAACAAGCAGAGAATTTACAACTTTCTTAGAAAGCACAAAGCACCAGGTCGTGGGGAACCAAAGGAACGTGGCTGGCCGTCCTTCGCTGATGATTACATTCCCAAAGTGATTAACGTAAGGCTGGGTGAATAGTGCTGCATTTCAGCATTACATGGACTGCTGCCTCTTCTCCAGGCATTTCTCAATATCATCCAATACCTGGACAGCTGCTTTAGGAATACGAGTCCCTGGGCCAAACACTTTGGTAACACCAGCTTTATGTAGGAAATCATAATCCTGTCCAGAAAGAAATGTGAGATCTTTAGTTAACAGTGCAACAGAAAATTGACCTTCACAGTGACTGTATGTGCCGGGCCTGAGAAAATATGCATCAACTCCCTGAGAGGCAACAGAGCATCAAGGGAAATGACAAAAAAATACAGTAACTGGAGGAATAAAGAAATACTAAAAAGCATCTACAACAAGGGTCTTATTTGTTTATCATCAGACTAATATCAGAAGTCAAATGGATGCGACCCTGAATAACCTAATCTAAATTTGATCTACCTTCGAATTTTGAAAATGCTGCTTTGAACAAAGGCTTGGAATAGGTGACTGGCTGCTCATGGTCCCTGCAATCTAAGTAACTCTGATGTTATAGTCAGCCTGAAATTCTGTAGTGACTGGAGAAGCAGTTATCTAGTCTCTCTCACTTCTACACAGTATACTCTACATGTCTTTCAGCTACAGGCTAGTGGTATCCTAATGGACAGAACATAATTTGTCTCTTAGAAAAATCCTAGGAGATTGGTACATTTTAAAAGTCTCTCCATCCTGAACTACGTACCTGACTGGTTAGAGAAGGAAAATGTCAGGGAAAAGGAAGTTAAAATAAATTTGTATGCAAAATCAGTCTGAATCTAGATTCTCTCTCTAGAATCTGTCCCTCTCTAGACAGAAGACAAACCTAGGGATGTTACTGCCGGGCAAATTCTGGATGAGCTAAAGAAAACTGTAGGAAAAAGACACAGATCTGACTGTGAGGGAATCCAGCAAGCTTAGGAGAAATAGTTAATGAGAGGGACTAAGCCTGATGACAGAGAACAAGAGGAGCAGCTAACTAGAGAATGAGATGTGCAGCCTGCAGCTGCACTATCAGCCATACCTCTTAGTCACTGTGCCTCTTCAGAACCATTACTGAAAGTAATAAGTTCCCTTCAGATGGGAGCTAACCTTTACCAATATTATGCAAGGTACTGGTAATTGAAACTAACAGAACATGAAAAACACTTCCCCGAGGCTAGTCTCCTCACAGCAGAACTTAATACTCCATCCAACAAACAACATAAGTTAAACCAGGACATGATGCACAGAAAGCTCTATCAACAAGACGTGACAGCACCGTGTGACCTTCCTGCAGATCTGTGCTGAACCTGGTGATGGCACCCAGCAGCCTTCAGTGCTGTATGTCAGCTCTGACATTCAGAGTACCTAAGAAACAGCTAAATCTAGCACAGGTGGAGATGATGCTGGTGCATACCTGGGGTGGGATGACACCTCCGCATATGACAAGAATGTCTGGGCGGTCGAGGGCATCGAGTTCTTTGATGAGTTCAGGCACGAGAGTTTTATGACCTGCTGCCAGTGTGCTCACACCAACACAGTGCACATCTGCATCAACAGCCTGCTGGGCCACCTCGCGAGGAGTCTGTATGGAAAGAGGATTACACACAGCTAACTGCCCCGGCCTGGCTGCTGAAGGACGTGGGATTGAACACTGCTCAGTCAGTCATACCTGGAAGAGGGGACCTATGTCCACATCAAAGCCAATGTCTGCAAATCCTGTAGCAATAACTTTAGCTCCTCTGTCGTGGCCATCTTGGCCCATCTTTGCAACCAGTATCCGGGGCCTGCGCCCCTCGCGATCCATGAACTTGGTAACTCTGATGGAAAGCATGAATGACATCACTGTCAGTCACTGAGATTCACCAGAAGCATTTCCACAGATCTGAAATAAAAGCACTAGCTGCAACTGCAGCATAATTTCTGTACATCAAATAAAAGGATCTTCCAAGTCATCATTCGCTTATGTAGTTGGCACAGTTATTGTTATGTGATTACTAATCCATTCCTTGTATTTACTATTTGGAACAATAAAATATTCTTTTTTGAAAAAAACCACTACTTTTCTGCTTTGCAATGGTAAAAATACTGCTTTCTATGAGGGTTTAATGAGCTGAATAACCAACCACCAACTTAAACACAACTCTTAGATTTTAAGAATAATTATGAGCATTTAATTAAAAAGGTTGAAGCATGGCACAAGAAGTGCTGTGCAGTAGTACATCACTATGCAGGAGCACAGAAAAAGATTAGTACAGCTTCCATTCTGTGTGTGTCCAGTGCCTCCCTTCTGCTTAGTGACAGTTCAGCTGTCTGTTGAATTACAAGTGACTGTGCAACCACAGCCTCCGAGATTCATCTGTCACCTTACCTCTCATTATCCATGTACTGCCAGTATCTATCCTGGAGCAGGAAGCAAAGACAACTGTTTCTCAGAAACATTGCTAAAAGGAGTTTTTTAATACTGCTTATATTGTTCTCAGTACTCTTTTAAATGATGGAGCTGTATGGACTTGGTGCATCTCGAAACCAAATGCTGACTTGACTGGGTTAGTCACTGTAGGATCCACGGGTTTAGTTTGGGGAAAAGAATGACTCAAGACAAAGCATTTATCAGCACAGAATTAAACAACCTCAGTAGATTGTGCCAGGAGCAGAAAATGCATCATGTGAGAGCAGTAAATAAAGCACTCGCACAGTTTAGAAGTGAATTCTATCACAGGAGCTGAGAGAAGAAGAAGACTAACCAATCTTCTACTTGAGGATCTGGAGGAGTTGGGCCTGCCTTCTGTGTTCCTAAGTTCCAACCAGTAAGTATCTGCATTAATTTGTGAAGTCTTACAATTCTTCTCTCTGTTCTGTTTTCTATTCCATATTTTTCTTTTCTTACTACCCACAAGCTCAATCCTAACAGAAACAGTTTTTTGGTGCTCCAAGACTACCTAAGGCAGTACACCCCAAGACCTGAGTTAAGAGAGGGGCAGGTGTGAAATTTCACTTTTGAAGGCCTGTGCAAAAGTGGCTTGTAGCAAAGTTACTTTCAACACCATGTACACATGAACTTTGACATAATGGCAGATGCAAAAAAGAAACTACTTCTTGATTCTCAAGGAATAGGTTCAGCTTCACGTAAAGGCTTAATGATAAATACTTACATTCAAAAGAAACATTTGAAATAAGAGAAGACTGTGTAATCTGCCAGCACAATGACCTTTCAATCAGGCTAAACATCAGTACTGTGAAGCCATCTGAAAATTCCCTTTCAAGAGATCCCATAACTCTTTAATGTATAAGACCCAACAGAGTAGGGACACATCAGCCCATATTACATCACTGCCCACTGTAACAATTCAGCCTCTTCACTCAGGAGAACAGCAGCAAAGGCAGAAGCTGCCAAAAGGCACAAATACTCACTGCTTTCACACATATTGCCATCTTCTGATGTTTTCTCCCTAGTGACATGACAAAGTAACAACGATAGACAGGAAGTTTTAGGTTGATGTCCAGGCAGATTTTAGCCTTACAATTTTAGGAACAGTGAAGAACGAAGCCGCAGGGACAATTTTTGGGCAGCTCAAAACCAGGTTTTACTAATAGGAATAATTGGAAATATTTGTAGACATTACTGTCACACAGTCTTCAGACAAAGCAAACCAGTGTGTGGGGATTTCAGACAGTGTTTCTCAGCTTTTTAACCCTAAGACTACCACATCTGTTTCAACAAAATCCTCAGAGCAGAAAACCATCTCAGTGTTAGTTCAATTAACTGATGACTTCTGTCCTATGGCAGTTATTTTTTCTTACCCTGCTTACTGGCTTACAGGTATGGGAATGCCCAGGCAGGTGGTTTGTTATGGGGCTTTTTTAAGGCACAGTAGCACGGAAACCTAATGTGAGCCCTGTGCTTGGCTTCCTGCAAAGCCCTTCTCACCTGTTGATAGCATGAAGGATTTCATCGCTCTCCCCAAACTCCTGTCGGTAAGCTCCGCTCACCATTCGGTCACTGGCTTTGTGCTCCCCAAACACCTTCTTCATTGCATCTGTTATTTCTCCAACGGTGCACCTAAGATGCAGAAACAAAGTATTGATGCTATCAGGAGGCTTATATGGAAACAGAATACAGAAATAACTGGCAGCAGCCCAACTCTTTCCTTTGCTGCAGGAGCAAAAAAATCAATTACACTCGCTTCCCCTGTGGCCCTGCAACTCTGGATGTCTGACTTGCATCTCACTACTGGAACATGCAAGAGTATTTTTCAGAAAATACTGTTCTGCTGATGTGAGAAGTGACTTTACATATGACAAGGCAGCTGGGACTGTTACATGGCAAAATACTGAGGAAATTAAATCAAGTTTTCTCACCTGGGAATTTTTTAATGCTCAGCTTGCAGGATTCTGCATTTGGACTCATATACTAAGAGTCAAAATATATATATCAAGAAAATAAAAAAAAGAAATAGTACACACACAAAAGCAGACTGCAACCTAACTCGTTTACTGGAATTTGTTTCTCTTGACCTTGCTCTTTATATTTTAGTACTTCTTATCAGCTTCTAGCATAGCTATTTTATTGACTGAGATTTCCATGCGAGTGACAAACTTTGTTTGCTACTTGAGACACTGTGTGTGCTAGAAATAATACACATTTTACTGCTATAGCACAATTGCCAGAAGCAAACCAGGCTGTGCTGCCTTCTCATACAAACAAATGAAACAACAGCTTGTATTACAAAGCATTTAAAATCTTGTGCTTAATGGATTCCACCCTTCTGTGTAAAATCTCACATGCAGAACTGTCCCAAAAAGACAACGCTGTGTTCTAATAACAATTGAGCCTACAACCAAATACTGAGGAAAGGAGTCTACTTAGAAGGGGAAAACAGCTGTGGAGGAAGAGCAGTTCACTTAGCTGCATCACAACAAACTGCTTCCTTGTGGTATGAAATGAACTGGGAGCTGGCACCATATGCCAGCATGCCACCGAGCTCCTGATGAAATATATCATCAGTAATGACCAGTCAGTCAAAACATGCTATCACCTATAAGCTGCTCTTAGGTGAGATGAGGTACTCGAAAGGTTTTAATACAAATGACTCAAAGGACATTTGGTGCAACTTCTTGTCCATATACCTTCACAGGAGGATGACCAATGAACTGCAGGCAGGTTTCCTTTTGCTGTTTGCATTTCAGATCGGTTCTGTGTGATGCCCACCTTACAGTCTGCCACACAGCCAGTAGAACAATTGGATTTTCGCTGTATTAACTGGATCCCCTGTACATCTCAGAGAGGTATTTTAATTCCCGTGGCTGCCCAGCTATTTTGCTGCTCTGTCACTGGCTCACGTGCAGCATACTCAGCAAACTTAACAGTACTTATAATCTAAAGCTACATTAATGTGAAATGGCAGAAACAGCAAAAATCCTATCTTGAGCATGTAAGCAAGATCTCTAATGCATATCCCTGAAGGTGGTCTCTTATTTTGAGGTATCTGTCTTCAGGTTCCCCGCTTTGTCTTGAAGATAGCAGCAAGCTGAACATGCAGTTTTTTTACTCATGTTACAAAGGCTTCATCTTTTTGTCATTTCCCCTCCCCCTTTACCTTCTGGAATTATATTTTGAAAGTTCTCTGCTCTTACCCATTTTCTTCTTCAGCATAAGAAGGAGTCAAGTCTGGAGTCCAGAAGATTATACACAAAAAAAGCAACCAACGTCAAGTAATAGATGATTTATATTATCTATAAGTTTATGGATGAACTGGACTTAGCCTGGAACTCTCTTTGAATTTATTTTATTAGTAATGCCACAGAGAGCATTAGTGACAAAGCAACCTGTCCATGACTGCATCAGAACCTGCTGACATCTCTGTGTAAATCTTCATTTCACAGCATCTGTGGGGTCTCAGAAAGCTTAGCAAGTACAACCTGTGTTACACTGGCTTTTGTTTTTCAGAATATCGAAATAATCTTGTTAATGTTACTGTTGTCTGATATTAATAAAAAAGTAGAAAAACAGACTGCATAAGCATTAGATTAAGAGACTTCTTCAAGGCTGAACAGCAAGTCTGCAGCAGACTGATAAATAGGATCTGGAAATAGTGACTCTCTCTCACAATGCCAGACATCACAGCCTGCATCACAGCCTTGACATAGATACAGATCCTCCATAAACACTGGCAGCTTACTCCTGTGAAAACTGCCTAAAGGCTTTCTGTGGCAGAACACACTGCTTTCTCTAGAAAATAACAAATCTTTTTCCTTCTCTTCTTTTGCAAAAGAAACATGTATGTATAGTTTATTCAGTTTTAAACCGAAGAGCAGCGCGTGCAAGCATACCTGTGTTGTGCTCTTCTGTTCCTTCTATGCAGAAAAACAATGGAAGTTTCAAGAGATGCAGAAACAGACTACACTGAGTGTGTTCTCTTGAAAATCTCTTTGCATGTTGCCCTATATAGAAGAACTCCTTGCTCACAGTACATACAGTGCTCTTTCAGATACTCTTTATAGAGTCACAGAATGTTTAGGTTGGAAGGGACCTTTAAGATCACCAAGTTCCAACCACTCTGCTATAGGCAGGGACACCTCTCTCTAGCCCAGGTTGCTCAAAACTCCATGATCAGATGCCATAACAAAGTCATTCTGTGGTCACATCCCATACTTAGCCTACATGGCTTCAGGGCAGAGATAAATTTTGTTTCACATCTGCAGCTTACAAAGTATTAATGCTTTGACAGATAATAAAAACAAGGTCACTAAGGAAAGAAACTAGCGGGTAATTTGTCAATTTTGGTACAGAAGACATGAATTCCTGGTAAATCCAACATTATCCTCCAGTGACCTCCACAGTTCAAGGTCAGGTATAGGTAGACATGCTGCTGTGCAGAAATGTATTCAAAGAGTGGCTGTTAGTGTTAAAAAAAAAAGAGAATGAAGAAACTTGAGAACAAGCAAGAAGGCATTCCAAACATGAGTGATTTTGGCTTGCTCATTTCTGAGGCATTTAGTTAATTAAGGAACAGACAGATATGTTGTATTCTACAGACTGATGTTTACTTTGAAGCAGAAAATAGTCTTAAAAGCACCTTAGGTGAAAAAAAAAACAACAAAAAACCCACCCATCTTCCATTGGGTTCTAAAGGAAGCCTCACTGCTCCATTCAAGAGGATCTTTTACACCGCTGTCTGCCTAAGGAAACATCCTCCTTCAACGATAAAAACATTTTCACACCAAGCTCTGGTGCAGGAAAAGATGAAGCAACAGACCGTGTTAGGATTGTGCACATCCCTTTTCACATCTCAGTCGCTTCTCAAGCTCCCTGACCTATGAAATGGCAGGGTGGCAGAAAAAGGCAGCTCTATCTCAAAACTGCTAAGATTCTGAGCCTGAAACAACACAACTCCTGTGTACAACATCATTTCAGATGAGATACTTCATATTCCCATTGTTCTTCAGTAGAAATTCAAGCATAGCTTCAAGAGACTGTAAAATGCAACAGTCTTACAATATCATATGCACAAGTCTGTGTTTACTTCCATCTCCAAAATAAAGTCCAAAGGACCTCGAGACCAACCTCACTGACACCATACCCAAAAACAGTTGAAACATGAATTACAGAATCACAGAATGGTTTGGGTTGGAAAGGACCTCAAGGATCACGAAGCTCCAACCCCCCTGTGCCATGCAGGGCCACCAACCTCCCCATTTCATAGCAGCCCAGGCTGCCCAGGGCCCCATCCAACCTGGCCTTGAACACCTCCAGGGATGGATGGGGCATCACAGCCTTTCTGGGCAGCTGTTCCAGCACCTCACCGCTCTCATAGCAAAAAACTTCCCCCTGAAAATGAACAACCAGTTTTTAAATAGCAGCTGGATTTTCACCCTTATCTCTAATACCTTGAACGTGCTGCTTCCACTGCAAGAGCCAGGATATTGCCTTCACCTGTGGCTGCACACTGTGTTAGAGCATCAAGGCATCGCTGAGCTGCTGCGGGGTCTCTGCTGGCCTTCACCTGAAGTGCAGAAGAAAAATATTCAGCCTGAGTAAGAAATGTTACGTACTTTGAGTGCAAAACATGGCATAGCTGTTTTCTGTCTCAGTTTTGAAATCCATATCCTCATGAGACTGTCTGAAAGGCAATGACGAACACCAAATGAACAAAAGTCAAATGGTTTTGTTGCTACTCCGTTTCCTGGGGGGTTTCCATCACTCTACTGAAATTAATGAACAGAAATCCAACTTCTCCACTGACAACTAGAGTGGATCCAAACAGATTTAAGGGTCATGCTTTAGGGAAGCCACATTTTCTGTAATGTTTACCTAAGTTCTATTTGCAATTGTAACAGCCTTCATTTTTAAGAAGGTATTTCCCACCTTATTAATCTTCTCAATCTGCTTGTTACGGACTGAAGAATTATCAATAGCCAGAACTTCAACTGCCTCCTCTTTTTCTAGCTGATATTTGTTTACTCCAACAATTACTTCAGAACCTATTTCCAGTGGAAACACAAAAAAATTTAGGATATATGTGCAAATTAGTGTGAAAAGACACAAAGTTTACATGACAAGAACATTTTAAGTAATAAAATACAGTGCTTTGCTTTATAACATTTCAAATACTTTAAGAAATATAGGAAGGATTTAAGTCTATTTCCCACACTTGTGTACACACTGTGTACACAGTTGCACATACACACACACACCTCCACAGACACTCACTGTCTGTGTTTATGTATCTATACACAAATAAAGAACTGCATCATCTCCTAATATGAAGTGACTGTTAAAATGAAATGATTTTTCTGGTCTTCAGGACAAATAAACGGCTCTCAAGGAAACGGAGCCTCTTGGCCAGATGCATTCAACACTGCCACCTGCTGGCTATCACAGATTTACACTCAGGAACGGCAGTTTTAAATGTACTACCTCAAAAAGAAAGCAGGAAAAAAACAAAAGTTCCCTTTTTTTGCCTTCTTGCTCCCTACCAGAGTCAATCCTGGCTTGCCTTCGGGCTGCACACTCTTCAATACGAAGTTTGGGAATTCCCTCAGCGACAGCTTTGGCCATTCCACCCATTTCTTCAATCTCCTCAATGAGCTGGGAAATGCAGAAGATGGAGAAAAAGAGGATTAGTAAGGTTCACAAAACAAGCTTTGCAGTTGCACAACCATCCAAATTCTAAGTACATCTAAGTATACAGTCCTGTTCTCCTAGCTCTCTGTGTCTCTGACCAGATTCTGGTATATGTTGCAAGAGATCTCAAACAAGATCATTTTTATTGCCAAAACTCCATGAGTTTGGCCAATTCAGTAACAGTGCAAGGCACGTTCAACCACAAACAGTTGTTTGCCCTTCACGAAGGACTAAAATTGGAGACCTTGATTCTGCACTGACTTTTGCCTGTCAGTTTCATGAACTAAAAAAAGCCAGGGCCATTTGCCAGATCCTGAAGACAAGTGCTGCGTCATGGTCCAACTCTCATACAAAAGCCCATTCAACTCTAAAATACTGTGCTCAAACTACCTACAGAGAGTGGTCATCAGACCATGCTTGGTACTGTCTGGAAGCATCTTAGTTAACCCAGTCCTAAAAGACACCTGCCAGTGCACCCCACTACACAGAGCAATCTGCATGGTGCCAGCCTAGTGTCTGATCCTGTATTAGTTCATTAATTGATGTTGGGATTTGGCACTTTTGCTTAAAGGCAGAATCACTGTTTACCTGTAGGCTAAACACAGAATGGCTTGGGTTGGGAGGAACCTTAAAGCCCATCTAGTCCAAACCCCTCTGCTGTGGAAACCCAGAGTCCCACCCAACCTGGCCTTGAATGCTTCCAGGGTTGGAGCACCCACACTTCCCTGGGCAACCTCTGCCACTGCCTCATTGGCTTCTGAGTAAAAAATTACCTCCTGACATCTCATCTAAATCTCCCCTCTTTTAGTTTAAACCCATTCCACCTTGTCCTATCGCTATCTGCCCATGTAATAAGCTGTTCTTCCTCCTGCTTATAAGCTCCCTACAAGTACTGGAAGGCTGCAATGAGGTTTCCCCCAGTCTTCTCCAGGCTGAATACACCAAGCTTTCCCAACCTTTCTTCATAGGAGAGGTGCTCCAGCCCTCTGAGCATCTTTGTGGCCCTTCTCTGGATCCAATCCAACAGCTCCACATACAGGTGGACAGTTTTATTCAGGTCTGCCACCAGTCAGGCTACTCTTGGGCTATACCTTTGACATGCAACTAATAACTGACAAATGAAATATACTATTTGAAAAAAATAAAAAAGATTTTGAATCAATAGAACAACAACAGCAAAAATTCTGCATTGGCCAAACAATTTTCTGCCTTCTTACACGGCTACAAAATTTGGCTTGCAATAACCTCTAGTTTCTAAATACGAAGCAGAGTAACACACGCACGAGTAGACATAAATCAAAGAACATAGTGAGTTCTAAAAAGATCAAGTCCAACTCCTGGCTCCACATAGGATCATCCAAAAAATCAGCCCACGTCTGAGTGTTGTCCAAACACTTCTGGAACTCCAGCAGGCTTGGTTCCCTGGAGATCCTGTTCTGCATGTACCTAAGTAGGATGGGTTGATCATTTCTTCTTCTTCATTTTTTTTCTTTAAACATACACAGAAAACACAGATTCTCTAAAATTAGGAGACTTCAGAATGCAAAATATTTTCATTATCTGCCCTACAATGAAATATTTCCTTTCTAAAGGTAGTCTGCTGAAATGCTGATGCATCTCTCTAAACACTGTATATACACTTTTATAAAGTTCATCTTCAAAAAAAAAAAAACCACTGAAGATTAAGGGTTAAATAATTCCTCCCTAAGAAATTACCAAGATATGAACAGTCATCTCTCAAAAATTCTATAGCTGCAGTTTTCCTACAAAACATAAAACAGCGTGCAAACCAACCTTCAAAGCAGCCTCATAGACATCATTGGTGAGGCACTCCATCAGGAAGGATCCCCCCCAGGGGTCTGCCACTTTTGGAATCCCTGACTCCTCCTGTATTATGATCTGTGTATTGCGAGCAATGCGAGCACTCTTCACTGTAGGCAAACCCAAAGCTTCATCAAATGAATTTGTATGCAGTGACTGGGTGCCTCCAAACACTGCAGCCATTGCTTCAATCGTAGTGCGAATAACATTGTTAAAGGGATCCTGGAAAGAAAAGGAAGGTTCTAAAGGTCAAAGCTTCTGGCACAGGGCTGAGGTATATTGATTTCACAAACACTGCTGCACATAAATGATTGCAAAATTCCCAACAGAAGAACTGTAATCGTACCAAAAGCTGAAAAAATGGGAGACATCCAATGAAATGGATGTATCGCTCAACAGTATTTCAGGCAAAGAGATTAATCAATAAAGCAAGCCAGAATTATGGATGCACAATTAAATCGGTCACAATAATAAAGCAAAGCTCAATTGATATCGAGTTGTGTTACAAATAATTAATTCAAAGTAGAGACAGTGGAATCCCTCCACCCCAGAATACCAAAGTCTCAGAGCACATTTGGAGAACAGGTCACGAGTCAAGATCCATTTTGGAGCCACATATGTTCAGTAATTTCACTAATGATAGTATTACACAAAGGTGGGAGCCACTGTTGAAATTTGCTTGTAGCAAATTCACGGATACATCAATGGATGCAACAGATAATCTGGAGTACTATGCACAAAAAGGAAGTCAATACTACAAAATGCAATTTTAGCATTTAGGTTAAGATTTTTCTTGGCTTTCTTCAGACATTTCAACAGCTGCATTGAGTGCAGAAACCTTCAGAGTAAAAGAAGAACTTTCATGATCCTCAGAGAGGGGTAACTGGGTAACCTGTGCCCTAAGCCAGTGAAGAATCACTCAATGTACGTGCCTGTAACAGCCTTCTTTAAGATATACACCACGAGAACATATTTTAATTAGGAAGTAGAGTACAATTCCTAACCTGCTCAGTGAGTGACCAGCCTGAAGTCTGACAGTGAGCTCTAAGCAGCAGAGATTTGGGATTCTTGGAATTGAACTTTTTCTCTATCAAGTGAGCCCATAGCTTCCTCCCTGCTCGAAGCTTAGCTATTTCCATATAGAAGTTCATGCCAATTCCCCAGAAGAAGGAGAGCCTGTAATAAGAGTACAAAAACAGGATAAAACATTAAACCAATCTAAAAACTCAATTTCAGTAAAGGACAAGACCTACAGCAAGGCCCCCAATTCATTTAATTTTACAGATTTACGTGAGGTGATAGGAATATTCCTGGACACTGCTGCCATTTGCTACAGAAGACACACATCTATGCCAATAAGCAGTTTTTGAAACAAGGTAACTGCAGGCAAACTGCCAGTGGTTATGGCTTCTGGAACTGCTAAGATGTGCCCTGGGTCTGATGAGGGGGAGCCCTGGGGGAAGAAGAGCTCCAGCACATCACTAACACAGACAGTGGCACTGCAATGCTGGGGAAAGATGCTGGACACAATGTATGTGTGTGGTTATTGCTCACAAACTACTTAGGAGCACAAGTCACTCTGCAGTCCTAAAGCTATAACGCCATTAGAAACTCTTTCAACAACTGCTTAGAGACCCTCTCACTGATTCACAAACCAACTATTACAACAAGCCTGGGCAATGCTTGGGCTTGTAAATTAGTTTTATTCGGTCCATTAAAACAGATGTAGTCTGGACCAGCTAAGTATTCTTTTTGTTTTGGTTTGGTTTTTTTGTTACAAAGTTTCAAAGGTAGGAAAACATATTTGCAGCAAGAGCCTTGCAAATATTACTTATACGTGTAGAAATCCTGAAAAAGGTTAAAATTCAACTCTAGGAACTTTACCCAAAATGAGTTTTGTATTTAGCTCACCTTGGTGCAAATTCATCAATGGTAAGGCCGGCTTTCAGTCCAGTTCTGCAGTATTCCAAGCCATCTGCTATAGTATAAGCCAATTCCAGAATGGTATCAGCTCCTGCCTCTTGCATATGGTATCCACTGATTGAGATGGAATTAAATTTTGGCATATACTGCAAAAATAAAAAAAGTGTATTACAGCAGCAGGGAGGAGAAAACCTGAGAGTTGTGCTGACAACACTCACAAATAATCCACTATTTGTAGATTGCAAATACAACATGCTAACTGTTCTTTTCAGATGTTTATTTCGCATACATTCCCATGCTTTTACTACTTCTCAATATTTGTTGTGCTTTATTTATTATTTCTCATCGTCACTCTCTTCCTCAAAGTGTCCCAACTCTTCTATGAAAATGCAACTCAAAAAACAACTGGTAGCACCACCGAACTTCCAGGCATAAATCCAAGGATTCACACTTTTCCTTATTTGCTTTCTATGCTTTACTTCACTGCAGAAGGCCTTTAGGTTTTCTGCCTCCTTGCTCCTGCTAACAGCTGAATAATGCTTCTTAACTATGTGGCTTCCCCTGCACAACAAAAAGCCTCTCTACTCACACAGAATCACAGAATCACCCGGGTTGGAAGGGACCCCAAGGATCATGTAGTTCCAACCCCCCTGCCTGGCAGGGCCACCAAACATACACATTCAGATCAGGTTGCCCAGGACCCCGTCCAACCTGGCCTTAAACACGTCCAAGGACGGGGCATCCACAACCTCCCTGGGCAGCCCGTTCCAGGGCCTAACCACTCTCCTAGTAAAGAACTTCCCCCTAACATCCAACCTAAATCTTCCCTCCTTCAACTTGGATCCATTTCCCCTAGTCCTGCTATTGTCAGCCCCTTTGAAGAGTTTACTCCCCTCCTGGGTGTAATACTCGATACTTGATACTCCTTGTATCCAAGTTTCCTGCTGTCTTTTCAGGCTTGTCTGAATTTGATTTGGATTTGAATTTACTTAATCCTAACATTTATAAATGTTTGCAAATGATTTGAGACCTTAATTTGTCTTGATCTGTCTTCCCACCTTCTTCCACAACCTCATCTTTGTTCACTATGACAGGTCTTTCTGTTCTCTGCTTCGTTCTGCAAAGCCCCTTACAAATAGTCAACCAGGTATAAAAATGAAGTAAACACACTTAAACAATGAATACCTTTGAGGTGTACTGGAAGATGTCAGCAATAATCCTCATTGATGGCTCTGGAGGGAAGATGTACGTGTTTCGGACCATGAACTCCTTCAGTATGTCGTTCTGGATTGTCCCTGTCAGCTTGGCCTGAGGCACTCCCTGTTCTTCCCCAGTTACAATGAATGTTGCCAGCACAGGGATGACTGCCCCATTCATTGTCATAGAAACTGACATTTTCTCTAAAGGAATTCCATCAAAAAGGATTTTGGTGTCTTCTACCGTATCGATGGCAACTCCAGCCATTCCAACATCGCCTCGAACTCGTGGGTTATCTGAATCATAGCCACGATGGGTGGCTAAATCAAAAGCAACAGACAATCCCTGTTGGCCAGCTAAGTGAAGAAAAGAAAAAAAAAAGAAAAAAAAAAAAGATTCAGAAGTGTTAAACAGCTGCATTAGAACTGGATCTCAACTTTTTGAAAGGATAGGTAACAGCAGGAGAAGCGGAAATGGTTTGAAGTTGAAGGAGGGCAGATTGAGGTTGGATATCAGGGGGAAGTTCTTTGCTATGAGAGCGGTAAGGTGCTGGAACAGCTGCCCAGAGAGGCTGTGATGCCCCGTCCATCCCTGGAGGTGTTCAAGGCCAGGTTGGATGGGGCCCTGGGCAGCCTGGGCTGCTATGAAATGGGGAGGTTGGTGGCCCTGCATGGCACAGGGGGGTTGGAGCTTCGTGATCCTTGAGGTCTCTTCCAACCCAGGCCATTCTCTGATTGATCTAATTTTATTCAGTTTATTTTCCACCACTCAGGTTTGTGCAGTAAACCCATTTTTTGTTGCTTCCTGCTCAGATTTCTCCAAAGTCATCTAATACATGGTAATTTTCAACTTGAAAAGCTTAGTTGACAAAAATATTTAGTCTTTCCATGTCAGCCACATAATCAGTTTACTATGCTTAATGCATTACTGAGCCACAAATTATAAATGTGTATACACAGGTAGTATCAGGGTTTGCAAACAGAAATACTGCTTAGCTGGAAACACAGTGTGATAAATCACACCACATTAACTTCTCTTTACTACAAATAAAACATATGAATACAGACCATTGCCATGGCTCAAATGACATATGCAGTGAGAGAAAATTGTCCATACAGAGCAGGGAACCAGTTAGAGCACTTTGTTGCTGAGATGTGGAAGCAGTACCTGAAACTCTACAAATCCCAGACATCCATCAGCACTGCAGCTCCTGAAGAAACTACACTTCATTCCTTTGCCAATCAGCTTCTTTATCATCAGCAGAACTCTTAGCTGTCAGACATCAGCCTCTATTGCTCATCTAAAAACTAGTGTTAGCCCTGAAGTACAGTGACAACTTTCAGCTGTAAGAGAAAGCAGACTCAGAGACTTTTACAAGTGAAAATACCTAATAGTGCTGCAAAGCAAAACCCTCTGCAGAAATACTGGGGAAACTGCTGTCAAGTAATGAAAACACCAATCTTTTATGAAGCTGGCCTTACTAGTGCAGCACAAATGACACAACACGTATGTATTTATGTGAGTTTAAAACTGACAATACGAGATGGGAACCCAAGATGCCAGAATGAACTGATCTCAGAAACCTAACTGACCAAGCTCAGATTTTTTTTGTCTCTACGAGCTACTACATGCTCACAAAATAAGAGTGAACGTTCCATGAACTCTCTACTCTTTGGACCCTGGGATGCTGCCAAATTTTGTCAGCGTCAAGTCAGAGTAGCAACAGATAGCATTTCACGTGTTCATCTTTCCATCTCAATAGTAAAATGAAGTAAAGAGAGTTTCAGAAACGATCCAGTACCATTGGGAAGAACCCGTCAGAAATGAAAACTCACAGGGCTTCATAATCACATTGGCCATACAATTCTTTATGTGAATGTTTCCCATTGTTTAGCTCGGTGATGTCTTCTCCCAGCACAGCTGTCTTACCTTTAATGTTGTCCTTGTAGAACCTGTTGCTCTCCTCCACAGTGCTGAAGCCAGCATACTGGCGGATGGTCCACGGCCTGTATGTGTACATGGTTGGGTAGGGTCCTCGAGTGAAAGGTTTCACCCCTGGCAGCTCCTCAGGAAGCTCTTCTGTGTCCCTTTTGGAGTACAAGGGCTTGATGTCGATCCCCTCTGGGGTATGCCAAATTAAATCCTTTGGATTCTTGCCTTTCAGCTGCTTTTCAGCAAGGGCAGCCCATTCAGGGTGCAGTGGCTGACGGTGCAGTGAGCGCCATGTGAGCCTGCAGGCTGGAAGCTGTGTTGGGCAGAAGCAACGGCAGGACTGCAGGCACAGAAGAGCATCCTTGGCTCTTAGCATGTTTGACCCAATGGGTGGCCAGTATGGCATGAGCTGAAGGGATTAAAACCACATATTTTACCTTATCATATAAATCTGACATGGGAGAAGTGTGCATGACAGCTCAAGCAATTTGCTAAAGCCAAAACAATTACTCAGGAATAAACAAAAGCATATTATTCACTTGTTGATTTGACAGACATCCTTTTCCCTTCCCATTCAATCAGACAGCGCAAAAAAGAGTCGAGGAAAAATCCTACATTTTCTTCTAGCAAGGGAAGACATTCCTGCAACTCATTTACAGCCACAAATGAAACACGTAACTTATTTTGGCCCCTAAACAACACCATCATTAACCAGCCAGTGAAAGTCATAGCATCATAGAATCATTAAGGCTGGAAAATCCTCACTAATTATTGAGTGCAACCCATCACTACCACGCCCATGAAACCATGTCCCTATCTGACACATCTAAACGGTTCCTGAACACCTCAATGGACAGTAACTCCACCACTTCCCTGCACAGCCTCTTTCAATGTATTACCACTCTTCTGGAGAATAAATATTTCCTAATATCCAACCTGAATCTCCTCTAGTGCAACTTGAGGCCATTAGCTCTTGTTCTTATAGCTGCCACCTGGGAGCAGAGGCTGACACCCACCTCACCACAACCTCCCCTCAGCGAGTTGCAGAAAGCAATAAGGTCTCCCTTGAATCTCCCCTTCTCTAGACTGAACAATCCCAGATCCCTCAGCCACTCCCCATAACACCTATGCTCCACATCCCTCACGGATCTGTTGCCCTACTTTGAACACGCTCCAGGGCCTCCATGTTTTTCTTGCAATGCGTGGCCCACAACTGAACACAGTACTAGAGCTTTCAGCATTCATTTGACCAAATAGGAATCAACTCTTTGAAAGGGTTGATAACTGCAGGACAAGGGGAAATGGTTTGAAGTTGAGGGAGGGCAGATGGAGGTTGGATGTCAGAGGGAAGTTCTGTGCTATGAGAGCAGTGAGGTGCTGAACAGCTGCCCAGAGAGGCTGTGATGCCCCGTCCATCCCTGGAGGTGTTCAAGGCCAGGTTGGATGGGGCTCTGGGCAGCCTGGGCTGCTGTGAAATGTGGAGGCTGGTGGCCCTGCATGGCACAGGGGGATTGGAGCTTCGTGATCCTTGAGGTCCCTTCCAACCCAAACCATTCTGTGAAACCCCATTTCCTCACACACACCTACCCAGGCAGCAGACACCACAAAGTCCCGTTTGGTCCCACAGCCCGCCCTATACACACCCCTTCAGCGGCCAATAGGAGTGAGGACGCCGATTTGAGGCGTCCCTGAGGACTCCCAGCCCTATTCGGCGGGGAGAATGGGAGAACTGGAAGGATCGGGACAGACCCCAAAGCCACCCCAGCCCGTGCAGCCCCGCTACCTGCTGTCAGCCCCCTCACGGCACCCGCACCTCCCGCAGCACTGCGCATGCGTGTCGAGAGGCAGTGTGCATGCGCGTATTCCCGCCCTGTGCCCGCCCTTCTACGCGGGGGGCGGTGGCTGCCAATGCGCATGCGCCGGTTTGCGCGCGGGGTACGGTTTGCTAACGGCTTTATGGGCTGACGCGAATCGGTGGCGGTGGGAACGCTCAGCAGGCGGCAGGGTGGTGAGTCTTTGGGCAGGATGAGGCGCTGGAGGGGTTGGTGGATGTTTGTGCTGTATTATCCGGCACGGGCTCGGGAAAGCGGGGAGGGGGTCTTTGCAGTTACAGGCTATAGTTCCCATCATGCTTTGCTCTCGGCGAGTGTATACAGCCGCTCCCGCGGGCCCCGGTGCATGCTGGGAGTTGTAGTCTGCGTGCCGGCTCAGACGTGGCCATTCGCTGCTGTGTGTAAGCGGGAGGGCTGGTCTGCTTTCAGGGACAGAGGGCGCAGGCTGGAGCAGAGGAAGCTCCATGTGAGTGTGAGGGAAAACCTCCTTACTATGAGGGTGGCAGACACTGGAACACGCTCTGCCTGTGGGTTTTTACAGCCCTGTGCTCCTTGATGCATGGTTTGAGCTACAAGGAATTGAGTTAGTGGGTTATTTGTGTTGTTTCCTCCTGTTCTGTGTGGCTTGCAGACCATGAAACGCCACCTTGCATCTTCTGGTAAAAGGGGAGAGGCTGCTGATGGGGGAACAGCAAAAAGACCCACTAAGTCACACAACCTGCAAGGACCTATCAGCCAGAAAAGGGGAACAGGGGGCAAAGGAAATAAACATCATCAGAAAAAAAAGGTAAGTCATTATTTTTGGGTAAAGCAAGCTAGAAAAGTAACCAAAGAAAAAAAGAAAGAAGAGTTTTGCCTGGCTTTTCTGGTGTAATTGATAATGAATCCCTCATTAAAGTTGCTCCTTGTGAGAAAATGCCTTTACAGACATTGACCAAGGCCATGGGGTCCACCCTTTTGGCTAGACAGCTAGGAATTGTCTTTGGCTACATATAAAATACATAGGTTGCTCACAAAGCAATGTCTCATTTTTATTTCCATGGAAACTATAATAGGTACAATGAGCACAGTGCCACCATTTGATAGAGCAAATTCTTAGCTACAAAATGCTGTTTTTGAACGTAGCCACCACCATTAGCTATGCATTTTCACCAGTCATGAGCAGGAGCCTTCATGCTACCCTCCTGAAATTCTGCACCAGAGGAGGTGACCACTTTCATTCTCTCCACTGCTGATATGCACCACCAACCCCTCACTATGCACACATCCACTGGTTGGTCTCCATAAATCAAAGAATCACAGAATGGCCAGGGTTGGAAGAGACCTCAAGGATCACGAAGCTCCAACCCCCCTGTGCCATGCAGGGCCACCAACCTCCCCATTTCATAGCAGCCCAGGCTACCAAGGGCCCCATCCAACCTGGCCTTGAACACCTCCAGGGATGGACAGGGCATCACAGCCTCTCTGAGCAGCTGTTCAGCACCTTACCAGTCCCATAGGGAAGAACTTCCCCCTGACATCCAACCTGAATCTTCCCTCCCTCCACTTCAAACCATTTCCCCTTGTCCTGCTGTTATCTTCCCTTTCAAAGAGTTGATTCCCCTCCCTTCGGACTCCCTAGATACTGAAGGTGCTGCAATGAGGTCACCCTGCAGCCTTCTTTTCTCCAGGCTGAACAAGCCCAGCTCCCTCAGCCTGTCTTCATAGGGAAGATGCTCCAGTCCCCTGATCATCTTTGTGGACCCTCTCTAACAGCTCTCTGTCTTTCTTGTTTTGTGGGCTCCAGACCTGGACACAGTACTGCAGATAAATGTTCAGCAAGTGTTGATGAGTGTCCGTGGTGGCTGTTTTTTCTGCATGGAGGAGTTCAGTGACACACCTTTGCTTCATCTCCACTTCCATATCTGACGCTGTTCTGTCAGACTGTCTGTAATGTCTGTATGTGATGGGATATTGATGGGAAGGTTCAATCTGTACTGCCATCCCAGCAACGTCTGCCTCTGATATTATGGGCCAATGTAATAAAACAGGAGGCATTACTTTCAGAGCAGCCCTTCTGTGTTCTATAGTTGATGTGTATAAGCAACAATTATTTTTTTCCTTATATATATATATATTTATATATATTTTATTCAAGCCTAAAACGAGAGAGAGCAACAAAATCATAAAACCAGAGGGATGTATGACCTGTTTTTGTGACATTAACACATCAGGCAGGTTTGATGACAATGGCTGCCATTCCTAGTGAGCTCTCAAGATGTTTGTTAAAGGTTTTCAGTGAAATTTTATTCTTCCTGTGCTTCATCTTTGAGAACAGTTGTTCACAAATGTGCGTACTGCTAAAAAGTGATGACATGAATAAGGCATGACTGTGGGTTGGGGGATATCTCTTCCTGGAAAGACAGGGCGTAAAAAAAGTCTGACAAAGAGACATAATCTGGTTTTTGACTGAGTGTCTGATTGCAATCCCATACAACCCATTATATTACCTGCAGATTTTCAATCTATGTTAACTAAAGTGTAGTTGCAAATACTCAAAAAAAATTGATGATCTTTTTCATCAATCTTGAAACCTGTTCTCAAGTTCCTGTTTCAGAACGGGAAGCACGGCTGCGTATCTTTCTCTGTTCACAGGACTGAGTTTAGCCAATGTATGAAAATGCATAAAATTGTTTGCCATCACTGGAGTTAGTGCAGCCCTAATTAGCCAAAAATATTGTGAGCCATCCTTCAAACAGGAGCAACTGGGAAGAACGAGTTGCTTTCCTTAACCTGCCTGAGATGAATTAAAATGTTATGGTTCAGAAAGCTTTTTCTGTAGTCAGGCACTGATGTGCTTTCACATTTTATAGCAGGTTTCTGATAGTAAATAAGTGATTGCACATTAAAGATGTTTCAAAATGGCAGCGTTTGTGGTAAATATTTCTTTTCAGCATGTCACTCAGGCAGTCGGAAGGAAAGATGAGGAACATGAGGATTCTTCTTCCTCTGCAGGTCAGATTGTGTTCTTTCCTTATTTTTTGTCTCATATGGTGCTGATAGTAACTACTCTGTTCAAGTCATAGATGTTTAAGGTATGTCAGTAAAATGAGTTGGAGGTTGTTTTTTTCTGAACAGTAACTGAATATTTGCAGTACAGTTTTAGTGTAGGAAGGAATCTATTTCTATTTTGTGCTTGTTAAAGAACTTGTCACTTGCAACAAATAAACACCACATAATGTGGATGGATTTGATGTAATATTTTTGTGACATGGAAAAATATGAACCATTACATCTTTGTCTGCTAGGTGATTGAGGTGAGTCGTGAGGCTGTTGACCAAGATTTGGGAAACCATTTCTCTTCCTTTTTACCTTTGTGTTATCAGGAGAAAAAGGTCATTCAAAAAAGGTGAAGCTATCCAGTGCTAAGCTAGGATCGTGGCAACCGCTCTCAGAGAGCAGCAGGAAGTTTCTGGAAGGTGTGATGGACTCAGGAATACTGTAAGTGCTGAATATCCTGGTGATTCTTTTCTGCTTCACAAGGAATAGACTGAAAATCATAATACTGCCTAGGTCAGGAAAGCTTTGGAGCTCTTCTGGTGATGTAGTTGGCTGGATACATTTTACCTGGTATAGAATCATTTAATTTTGAAAAGACCCATTATGATCAAGGCCAGCCATCACCTAATTCTACCACATAAACCACTAAGCCATGTCCCTAAACACCCCATCCACACATCTCTTAAATACCTCCAGGGCTGGGTGTTCAACCACCTCCCTGGGCAGCATGTTCCAAGGTCCAGCTGCCCTCTCCATCGTGCTCCATCCTCCTTCCAGAAAGTTGAAGAAAGCAATGAGGTCTCCCTTCAGCCTTCTCTTCTCCAAACTGAACAACTCTTTTTCCCTCAGTCTCTCTTTATATGTCTTACTTCCCCATTCCTTCACCTGCCTCACTGCTATTCTCTTCACATGCTCAATCAAGGCAACTCAGTATTTTGCTTGTAGAAAGGGGTCCAAAACTAGATGTGGTACTTCAGATATGGTCTCACCTGTGCTGAGTACAGAGGGGCAGTCCTTAGTACAGTTGGACACTGTTTCTGGTGAGAACTAGAGACACCATTGGCCTTTTTGACCATCTGGGCTCACTGCTTGTATTCATGTGGCTGTTGACCAAAACCCCTCCTGTGTCCTTTTCTGCCAGAAAGTGTATGATGTAATACTTTGTCTGAAGCTGGGAATTTTCATCTAGAGAAGTTCTGACTGTTTTCACTTGTCTTGATGCATTCTTCATGTTTTCAGGCTTTCTGATTAAAATTTTTGCCTTTCTTTCCAGATCTATTTTGTGCCAACAAAGTAAGGGAAAAGAAGATGTTCAGAAACACCTCAATTTGCTGAAAGAAAGGTAAGAAATTATAATTTTGGGTCTGGTCATCTGATTTCCTACTGTACATGCAGTATGATGGCAGTCAAGATGATCTGCTCCATGACTTTCCCTGGCCCTGAGATCAGACTGACAGGCCCGTAGTTCTCCAGATCCTCTTTTGTGCCCTTCTTGTAGGCAAGCATCATGTTTGCTAATCCAGTTAATGAATTTTAGAATTCCACTTTGGAAAATAATTTAAGACAGGTTTTCTTCCCATCTTGATCCTTTTACTTCACTGGCAGCAATTGTGCTAAACTGTTTTATTTCTCCACAGGGAAGTTAATAGTTAGTTTTCTTTTTATTTTGAAAAGAAAAAAGACAAAACTAACAAGTCATTCTTTTTTTCTTCTTATAAATGAAGGGTGCTGAGAGTCTTCAAGACCTTAAAGGTACCCTCAGGGAAGCTGAGCAACCTGAGCAATGTCCTGAGGTTTCAAGTGGCACAGAAACAAATGCTTGAGATGAATGAAACAGCTTTGGTACAATTGCAGGTATGAAATGTGCAGAAGGGAAGGAAATAAGTTTTAAGCTCTTGCTATTCATAGAATGGCCTGGGTTGCAAAGGCCCACAGCGCTCATCCAGTTCCAACCCCCTGCTGTGTGCAGGTCACCAACCAGCAGCCCAGGCTGCCCAGAGCCACATCCAGCCTGGCCTTGAATGCCTGCATCCACAGCCTCCTTGGGCAACCTGTTCCAGTGCCTCACCACCCTCTGGGGGAAAAACTTCCTCCTCATATCCAACCTAAACCTCCCCTGTCTCACTTTAAAGCCGTTCCCCCTTGTCCTATCACTATTCCTTAGTGTGCTGCAACGTTATGGTAGGACTGCTGGCTGTGCCTGTGCTGCTCTGAAGGTGCAGTCTGCTGTTTGTCATTGTCACCCACCTTTGCTGCAGAACAGAGTGTGTTTTAGTTCGTGGTTTTTTTTTCAGTATCTTGACTGATGCTTTGGAGAAGAGACAGGAAACCCTCAGTGACTTGCAAAGTACTAATGAAGATATTAAAGAATCTTTAAGTTCAGTTACTGTTCTGTTTTGTTGGGGGGGTTTTTTTGTGTTGGTTTTTTTTTTTTTTCCTGTTCTTTAGAACAGCATGTGTAGGGATTTTTATACTTAAATACAGAAGGTAAGACTTCATTCAATTCATCTGTATTCAGAGATGGTAAGACATCTCTGAAGTTGATGTCGTTCTGGTTTTGCTTATATTTCATCTTAGGAAGAAATAAATGAAGCTGAGAAATCAGCAGAACACACAGAAGAAACTATACTGAGACTGCAGCACAACATCCAGGTGCTCAAGGGCCAGTTGGAGGAAGAGGAAAAAAAGGCCAGGAAGGTACTGACAGTAGGTCTTGCTGCATTACAGGAGAAGCTGTTTTAAGAGCCAGCAGAGCCAAGCTGTTTTGCAGAGAAGGTTGTGTATGAAGGCCTCATCTGCCTTTAGAAATGTACCTTTTCAGTTTTTCAACTTCAGTTGCAAAATTAAAAAGAAAAAAAAAAAAACAAACATAACAACTTGGGTAATGACAGTTTATTGTTCTACTTGTGTGTTTGATATTTGTTTGTCTTTATTTGTCTTGTTTATTTTTCCCTTCTAGCTGTTCCGGGAAGGTGACAATAAAGAACTTCACCTTCCAGAACTCCCCAAATGCAGTTTACAGGCATCCACTTTGCAGGTGAGCATGGAGTATATTTTCAGAGGCAATTTGATCATTTGTTTATCACTTAACCTGTGCCAGAAAGGCCAGTCTAGCAGAAAGATTTTTCTTTTTCTTTCTTTTTTGTTCAGAACATATAGCTGTGTTTTAAAAACAGAACAAAGCCCTTGAAAACATGCCACTTAAAGGAATACCTGTCATGTCTTTGGAACCCTATGGTCCTAGGGAGCCTGTAATCATTTCTGGTGCATATCTATGGATGGAAGGAAGCCTATCTCATTCTGTGGCTTTGAATCTCTATTATTTTTAGCTGTATCTAAATACAGCTAGGCTGCATGAAAGTGTGATGGAGTGAAATTCCTTTTGGACTCAACGTAATCAGTTTTTTATTGCCTACTATTCTTTCTTTTCAGGAAGAGATTTTGATGGTAGAAAATCAGAAGGGTCTTTTAGAGGATATGAACACCATTCAGCAGTCAGCTGACATGAGGAATATGTTGACCTTCATTGAAAAGATCTACGAGAAGGTGGACTTTGTTTGAGAAACTTAAACATTTGGAGTCTTCTCTGAAACAAGATTTATGCCAGTGCACTCTGTGGTACAGTGGGACACCGTACTGGGTCACGGAAATGGCACTTCTGTTCTTAATGGCTTTACTGTTGTGCTGCTGAATATAATCCAAGCTGTAAGTTTGTATCTGCGTTTTATTTTCTTTGACGTATTATGGCTTCTTTTGATGTTGAAATCTGTTGTCCCATGTGAAGGGAGGGAGGAAGGTGGCAACTAACACTTATTTTGGGATTAAGTCCATCTTTAAACCTGAAATGTAGTACAAATATGTTTATCTCATACTCGGTTACAAGTCTCCTTATCCACTTTTTATTTAAAAATAACCTAAAATCGTCTCCATGGCAGGAGATTAAAATTCCTGTTGAATTGGTAGAAATTATTCATTTATATTTACATTTTCATATTCAGTGCTTCTAAAAACACACTTCTATGTCATTTATGCTCATGATTTGAGAAATTTTTTAAGTTGCAAGTTGTGCTCACCTCATTTCATTCATTCCAGTTATTTTCCAGCTTTATAGAAAGAAAATGAAGTCAAACATCCATTTTCACGTGTCCTTTCATCTCCTGTATTTTTTTTCCAGGGTAGAGTTTCTATCATAAGTGGTTGAGTTATTAAATAGTGCTTTCTCTAGCCAAACTGTCAGCTGGAACACAGTGCTCTTTACATTGACTTACCACACAGATGCTTGTTCTGTTGGTTACTAGCTACTGAAACTCTTAATAAAACGTGAGACAACCATCTCATAATTTCTTCTCCTACATTTAGAAGGAAAACTAGATTATAAATGTTTCTAAATACTTTGGATAACTCTGCTTACTGACATAACTGTACAGTGTTTGTAAGATGCTGCAAATTTTAATGAGGGAAGTCTCTCCTTTATTTCCCTGATGCAGGAGAGGGGTCTCACAATAATAATAAAACTTGTAAAAGCTTTGCAAATCTATCCTTTCCTGTCCTGTTTCCTGCAACCAAGCAGAATATCCCAAGTTGCTTCTGTAGCACCTGGAAGTAACTGAAACTTCAGTTTCACAAATATTAGCTTCAGGTGGGTGAGCTACAAGCCTCAGATTTGTTGAGATACTGCAAGAATATAAATCCGTATTCCATATCAGCTCTACCTTGTGCTCATCCAACCTGGCCTTGAACACCTCCAGGGATGGACGGGGCATCACAGCCTCTCTGGGCAGCTGTTCCAGCACCTCACCACTCTCACAGCACAGAACTTCCCCTGACATCCAACCTCAATCTGCTCTCCCTCAACTTCAAACCATTTCCCCTTGTCCTGCTGTTATCAACCCTTTCAAAGAGTTGATTCCTATTTGGTAAAATGAATGCTGAAAGGTATTTTCTTAACTAAACACCAAGGTGTTGAGTTGAGCAGTCTGAGCTTCAGCAATTTGCTTTGTTAACGTACCTCTTCTCTGACGTGGGGGGGCAGGTTGCCTCTGTGTCTCGGTCAGTGCCATTGTTTTTCCATCCCTCAGTCTGCCTGCAACAGCTGTGTGAGTTGATTAGTGATGGCTATTGGGATATACCAGTCTTCCCATCTGCCATGGGTTTCTGCATCTAGCAGGTTTCTGCGAGTATATGCTTTTGTTTGGGGAAAAATTCTCTTTGCAGTATCAATTCCGTAAACTTTTTGTTTTGCTTTGTCAACAGATGAGTCAGGAAAAGCAAAAAGCATGCAGAGATGTCTTTCTCTTATTCTTGGTAAGGGGAAAATTCCCCTATGCACTTCTTGGTGATGGCTCAGCAAGCAGCAATGTTCTTTGCAATAGCACAAGGCCAAAGGGTCCTGATGTGTCTGGGTGGCAGCCCTGAGCCATGAATACTGCTCAGCTCCCACTCTGCTGGGGGAGAGCAAAGTGTGAAGTGGGATTGACCAGGGTTTACGTTTTGCTCTCAGCCTATTCCCACTTCCTCTTATCATCACTAGGAGGTGGGAGGCCTCTGCCAGCTGGAATTTGTAGTCGGTGTACATGCAATATTTGAGTGAGAAAATGCATTGCCAAAGCAGTAGATATTTGCCAGGGCTATGTGCTGCGTATACCAAGGTTTTATAGCTACAGAAAATTCAGGAATGATCTTGGATTTCTGGACTAAGGTCAACTTGGATTAAGATTTTTCCTGAGCAGTAATGTTGTACCCCAAGTAAACAACTTAATTTCTTCTCTACCTGTGGTAGACATGCAGGATGCATCTATATTAATGAAAAAAATGTACAGGGCTGTAGTGTTGCAAGTCTTCCATCACCGCAGAAGATGAGTAGCTGCTCTACAGATGCAAATGTCATCATGTGGTGGAAGAAGACTTTGTGTTTCTTCTCAAGGTGAGATTTTTCTCAGACAGCTGTACCCAAAGTGTCCAATAGATGAAGTGCTGTCATAATTACAACTGTGGCCCTTTTGATGGCTAGCAGTCACTGACTTATGTTATGTGAAAGTGCGCTCTCAGGAAAAACACAGTGTAATTGTATAATCTCCTACTCCTTCAAGCACTGAGATCGTGCCTTCGGTTATCTCATTATGCCTTCAGACGCTTCATTTGTAAGATTGGGGTATGGATAGGCTGTAAGATTTGTAAGATATTTGTAAGATTGGGGTATGGATAGGCTGTAAGATTTGTAAGATATTTGTAAGATTGGGGTATGGATAGGCTGGATAGCTGGGCTGAGGCTAGTGGGATGGAGGTCAACAAGACCAAGGGACAGGTCCTGAGCTTTGGTCACATCCGCCTTAGGCAACTCTACAGGTTTGGGGCAGAGTGGCTGGAAGACTGTGTGGAAGAAACTGACCTGGGTTGTTAACTGATACTCAGCTGAACGTGAGCCAGCAGTGTGCCCAGGTGGCCAAGAAGGCCAACTGGCATCCTGGCTTGTATCAGAAATAGTGCAATCAGCAGGAGCAGGAGGTGATTGTCCTTCTGTACTCAGTCTGGTGAGGATGCACCTCAAGTGCTGTGTTCAGTTTTTAGCTCTTCACTAGAAGAAAACATGGAGGCCCTGGACTGTGTTCAGAGAAGGCCAACAAAGCTGCGAGGGATCTGGAGAACAAGTCTTATGAGGAGTCACTGAGAGCTACAGAGAAGTCATCTGAGCAGCCAGGGATTAGGTTAGGAAAGCTACAACCCAGGCAGAATTAAACTTAGCCAGGGTCATGAAGGTAAACAAGAAGTAGTGCCAACCTCATGAAGTTTCACAGGGCTAAGTGCAAGGTCCTGCATCAGGGCAATCCCAAGCATAGACTGAGGTTGGGCAGAGAATGGCTGGAGAGCGGCCTTGAGGAGAAGGATTTGGGGGTGTCAGTTAATGCAAGATTCACATGAGCTAGCAATGTGCACTCACAGCCTGGAAGGCCAAACGTAGCCCTGGAAGCACTCAAGGCCAGGCTAGATGGGACTGTGAGCAACCTGGTCTAGAGGGAGGTGTCCCTGCCTACAGCAGGGGGTTGGAAGTGGGTGATCTCAAAGGTCCCGTCCAACTCAAACCATTCTATGATTGTTTAATCTATAGAAGCGGAGGCTAGGGGGAGATCTTATCACAGTCCCTAGAACCTTGAAAGGAGGTTGTGGCAACATGGGGTTTGGCCTCTGTTTCCATACAATCAGTGGTACGATGAGAAGGAATAGCCTCAAGTTGCACCAGGGGAGATTCAGGTTTGACGTTAGGAAAAACCTTCAGAAGAGTGGTCTGGTGCTGGAATCGGCTGCCCAGGTGTGTGGTGAGGTCACTGTCCCTGGAGGTGTTCAAGAAACGTTTGGATGTTGCACTAAGAGACATGGTTTAGCGGGGAAATGGTGGCATGTAGATGGTTGGACTGGATGATGTTGGAGGTCTTTTCTGACACTGATGGTTCTGTGATTTCTTGTTACACTGGATTTCTTATATTACAGAGGTGTTTTATTTAAAGGCGAATATGTGGTAGAAAGGCAAACATCTAATTTGCTTGGACTACGCTGAGGAAACAAGATAACATCTTTCATTTTCTAAAGCTGTTCTCACTGACTTTTGATACCTGTTCTATTGTCAAATCCTTTTTCAAACTTTGCCTTCTGTGGAACCTGCCCTGTGTTTTCATACATGTCAGTTAATGTTTACAATTCAGAGGCAGAAGAAGAAATAAAGTTTCTCTATTATTTAGCCCAGATTAGGCAATCAGTTAGGTTGATCCTTGAGTCACTGATAATTCTGGTCCACAACAAGTGCCCTTTCACAGTGAGTGGACTTTTTTTATTGTTCAGTAGCTTGTGGTAGTAAAGGTAATGAGAGAACAATTGGACTAGGTGATCTCGTAGATGCTTTCCAACCTTGTGATTCTATGATTCTAAATAAAAAATAAAATAACATTTTGGTTTAGATGTGCTGAAGACTTTCATTACGATGCAGTGTTGCGAATATTTTTTGCCAAAGGAAACCATGAAAAAGTCAAGACATTTACACATCGAATTGATGCTGATTTGAGCCCTAACAGCGTGCTACAGCACAGATTTTATAGGGTTTGGGGACAACGTTAAATGAAACAGCAGGGCTGAGGTCCAGGTCTGAGGAGGAAACTCCAGGAGGAGGCTGGAAGGTGAACCTCTGCAGGAGGCTGGTGAAGAAGAGGAAGAGCTCCATTTTGGCAAGAGTCTCACCAGCACAGATCCTCCGCCCTGCAAAGAAATGCAGAATGTGTGGGAACAGAATCAGCTAGAGCTGATATTCAGTGGTTGGAAGATATCAAACATCTCTCAGCACCTTTTATTCTGGGGAAGAACAGAGACTTGAAATGCCGTGTCCCAAATATGAACAAAAGACAAAGCAACACTCAGAGGTACATGGGAGCATGAGAGAGATGCTTGGATATTTGGTCTTAAAGGAGTAATTATAAAGCCACTTAGTCATTATTTTCTTTTCCTAAAGCGGGTTGGTTGTATGCTTGTATTTGGAGATACATGGAAATACAATCTAAATTTCTGAACTCCAGTTTTCAACAAAATATGCGTTCTTCTTCTCCAGTAGGGATTTATTTTTGGTTCCTGAACCAACTGTGACTGGTTTTGTCCAGATTTTGGCAAGCTTAGCCTAATCACAGGCAATTTTTTATGTTATATTTTGACAGGAAAGACCTCAGAAAACTCACAAATGTTGGCTATGCCAGGACAGAGCTGCGAGAGGGTGGAGATAGTCTGTGGAACACTTAACATAAGCCCCCTTTTAGAACTGTTGTGAATGTAATTTTTTTCAATCCTGGTCAAATTCAGCAGCTTCTAAACTTCTTAATAATAGTTCAAGGCCAGAACTAATAACAGCCTGAACTAAGATTTGATTTTAACTCCCCTGTTGGACAAGGAAGAAAATGAGACACTATGGCGTGGCTGTGCTATGAACCAAGCCTTCCAGGGAATGCCCAGATCTCACATTTCCTGGATGTGATTTCAGTCAGGATGTTTAAACTTGAATCAGATAAGGAAGGTTACTGAATTGAGAACATCAGACATTCTTTCCCCCCCAAAAATGGGTTTTACCTTATGTTGGGTGTTGAGCATGATGAGAAAAAGCATGTTCAAATGTGACACAAAATATATACAAGGCCTATAAAAAGTGCAGATTTATATATAAAGCGCCTATCACCTGATTGATAAACATTCTTTGGAACCATTTTGATGGCAGGGGTAAGAACAGGAGTCAGCCTGTCAGAACCTCAGCATTTCTGTTTCCAACCAATTGAAAAAAAAATTAAAATAAAAGCCACAAGACT